GAATTAAATGATCCTTGGAAAATGATATGACCTCTCAGTTCCAGAGGTCCAATTATGGTAAACCATTCTGAAAACGTAAGACATTAATCTTATACTTTATAAAAGCAATAAAAAATAATTTCGTAGGGGGGGGGAGAAGTCTAATCCTCCTGCTGGAAGGCTAATCACTGGTTGCAGTTTGAAGATTAATTCACTGTCTCAAGTTACTGAGAGCTAATGTGATTTTTAAAATATGGATTTGAGGCCCTTACCCAAAAACTGTTAAGAAAGAGTCAGGACATTAAGAGGCAAGAGCTTGCAACTGCTAGTTGGAGGGAGAAGGAGGAAGGGAAAAACACAACCAGCAAGTGGAGAATCTGAGATACCAGTCAGTCAGTATCTATCGAGTGCTGTCTTTATTGCACTGTGCTCCGCAACTTGGAAAACCCCAATGAGCTAAGATATGGTCTGCACCTAAACAGTGGCTGGAGAACCAAGACAGAGAAATAGCATGCTAATGCTGTAAGATGAGCCAGAAAGTCTTATGATACAGGCAATCAACTGCCAGTGTGCTACACTGATCTGTTATTAGTAGTTCAGAGGTCACTAGGGTGCTTATATAGGAGGAAAGGAAATTTCTGTTCAGAAACTAGAAAAAGTATGAAAAGACAACTACAAATTTGCCAGCATCACTTTTGCCTGGCTACTTTAAATGGTCATTGGGTTATTAGGGAATTACTTGCTATTCATTATGTACATAATGAATTCAACAATATTGGCTTAGAATAATATCCTTATACCTTGGAGCTATATCCAAAACATTTGGGAATAAAATGTCATGATGTTGGCATTAAGTTAAATTTGTTGAATTGAGATGGTAGATACGTGGGAATTCAGTATACTATTCTTTACCCTTCTGGACATTTCAAATTTTTCATAATAGAAAGTTTTAAAAATAGCTTCATTAAATTTAAAGGCAGAAAGAAAAGACTAGGATGAAAATACAACCTAATTTTTGTCTTTGGTTCTGTTAAGAGGAGGCAGATGATGAATAAATTCTTCCCTTCAGTATAGTATTCAATTGCTCTGCAATGTACTTGTGTTGATTTTAGAACGGAAAATTGTGAAGCTTTAAAAAGAGCAAACCTTGAAATACCAGGTAAAAGGAATTTGAAAAGTTCTACAAAGTGTAAGTTTCTTCTTCATTATCTTGAAATATTAAAAACCATAGGTAAGGAGGTGAACAGGAAGGGTGGGTCAGGGGAACATCTCTGCCCCCAGCATTTACTTCTGCTTTCTTAAATCTTATGGTTAGTTGTGGTGACCTCCAAATAATTTAAACTCAATTCTCTCCATGTAAAGTGACAGTTAGAAATCTTAGCGGTTCAAATAAATCCCTAAAATTTAGTAATTCACAGATTAATTTGAGCATCAAATCTCTTGCTCTTTCTTAATTCTCTCATCCACACAAACAGAAGTTTAAAAAACAACTTCGATCCATGGTGAGCGTCTGTGAGAGACGATGATAGTTGTCCAAGACTGTTTTCAGAGTAATCTCTTGTTCACGTGAAATTAGCCACTAGTCCTAAGACACTTCTAATTAATTTTGCATCATCATTGTGTATAGGAGAAATAAGAACCAAGCCTGCTGGCAACTAGATGGTTTGTGGCTCCCATGTCTGAGTATTTTGACCAAAGATTCCTTAGAGGAACGCTACTCAAAGAGGGGAAATGCAGAAAAGAATTTAAAATTCTCATGGACTCTAGACATTTCTGGAGGCACGAAAAATAGATGAACCCCTAAAATTACTATCATGAAATATTCTAAATCTTAAACCCAAAATATCCCCAGAAGGTATATTAAAGCCAAATAATAATTTAGCCTAACAAGTAAAGGTCAGCTTTGAACATTATGCTCTTTTAAGAGCTATCTATAGGGTATCAAATTGACAATAGCCAACTAGCTAGATTAGATAGGAACCTTGGATCCCTGGAGTATATGGAGTATATGTTAATGAGGGAGGAACAGTTTTAAAAAGAAGCTAAGAATATAATCAATGTCACTAAATTGTACCTGTAGAAGCTATGGAATGGAAGTATGTTTTGTTATGTATATTCTCAACAACAACAACAACAACAAAGACGTATAAAATGTAGGGAAATTAAAAAAAAATAACACAACTGACAGATGCATGACAATATTCTCCCAGAATTTCTCAACATCCCATATATATGTACAACTCTGTAGGCAAAATCTTTAAAACTTACTGCAAGATGTTCAGAATTGGAAAGACACTGTTTCCAGCACCACAGCCAACCTAAGATCATAAGAAGAAACAAACACCATGAAAACAAGTCTACACTTTTCTCATTCATATCAGATTTTCTGCCCAAGAAACATACCACAAAAGAAGTACAAACAGCTTTAAAATTTTTGAAGCACAATATCACTTATTTATAATCCTAGGAAGGTAAATTTCTATCAAAATAGAAAACACCAAAATTACAATATTCAAACCAATAAAGAGTATGATGAACACATGAGGGGGTAATCCACCTAAAAAACAGATAAAAGCTCTCTGCTGGGTGGCTCTTTCATAGGATACATTTTCCTCTGCTAGGCAAGCCTTAAGCACCTCCTCTGAGTTAGTGCACCCAGTGGCGTTGCCTGGAAAGGTTCTCTCTGGTCACAGTGAATTTTTTTGCAAAAGCAGTTTTGCTCAAATCTCGTTTTTGGTGATGGCTGATTTAAGAGAACAGTGAGCGGCTGTGAAATTTTGATTCCTGCTCAGGAAAAATGCTTCAAAAACTGTTGTGATTTTGAACACAGCTTACAAGGACAGCACTATGGGAAAAACTCAAGTGTACGAGTGGTTTTCTCATTTCAAAAAAGGTAAAATGTCGATTGATGACAAACCTAGTTTTGGACATCTATCAATTTCCAGAACGGACAAAAATGTTGATGAAATTTGTGTACTTGTGTTCTAAGACCGACTACGGACATTGAAGAGATGGGGAAGTTATCTGAACTATCTTGAAGCTTGGTTCAGTGAATGTTAACAGATTTGGGAATGAGAAGGGTTGCTGTGAAATTTGTGCCTTGGGTTCTGACTGACCAGGAACAAGTGCTTCAAGTGGAAACATGCCTTGCTTTGAAAAAACAGTCACAAGGTCATTACTGGTGATGAGATATGGTGCTATTCTGATGACCCTGAAAGCTAACATCAATCAAGCCAGGGAAAGACACCATCGTCACCTCGCCCCAAAAAAGCTCACTGAAGTGAAATCAAAGATCAAGTCGATGCTCATTTGTTGTTTTTGATGTGAGGGGATAGTGCATTTGGAGTTCATCCCACCAGGTCAGACTGTTAACCAAGCTTTCTATTTAGAGATTCTGAACAGATTGTGTAACAGTGTGTGACAAAAAAAGGCCTGATTTGTGGCAGATGGGGGACTGATTTTGCCACCACAACTATGCACCTGTTTAAGAAGCCATCTCAGTGTGCCAGTTTTTGGCAAAAAAACCGACATGCCTCTCTTGGCCAACCAATTCACTCACCTGACCTCACTCCCGTGTGACTTTTTTTGATTCCACGAATGAAGAGGGACATGAAAGGACAACAATTTATCAATACAGAAGAGGTGAAGAAAACGAGGGAGGTGCTGTCAGCCAGCCAAACAGATGAATTTGAAAAATGTTTCCAAGAATGGAATCGCAGATTTGACCAATGTATTAAGTGTAATGGAGAGTACTTTGAAGGTGATAAGGTTTTTTTGTAAAAAAATTTAAATACATAGTTTTTTTAAAAATTCCTGTTTGGGGGGGGGGTACCCCCTCATACACTGCTGTGGAATTGGTACTTATCAATGTGTTTTAAAAGTATCAACATTCTTCATAAATTTTGGACTAGCACATCTAATGCAGGACAATAAAACAAAATACAGTTAAAGTATATACACAGAACACCTGAACAATCTAAATGCTCAGTAAGGTAGAAATACATTAGCAACATTACAGAATTACACCTAGCAAAATATTTTAGTCAAAATATTTTACACCTAACAAAATATTTTAGTCAAAAAATTCTTTTATACAGAATTCTTAAAAGTAGGGAAAAGTATTTATCATATAATGTTAACTAGACACAAACAACAACCAAAATGCATGTAATACATAGCTCAACTACCTAAAATCATATAAATAAATGAATAAAATATCAGTGTATTTTGACAGTGGTTAAATCCCTTGCTTGTCGGATTGTGGATTATTTCATCTATCTTATCTACTAAGTATCAGATTCTCTGTAATGAGTCTATACTACCTTAATAAGCAGAAAGAAAATATTTACTTAAAAGAAGAAAATCTAAGGCTGACTGTAGTGTATAATAAGTTATGTATGTCATTTATTTCTATTTCACCTACAAAAAGGTAATAAGACAGAGAGCGAGATTAAGGCCAAAATTTTTTTTTCCTGGACTCTGTCAACAGGTAGGCAGCCCGAGGCGCACATGCTTGCCTGTCTGGCCTGGTGACCTCTGGGGCTGCTGACCAGGACGTGCTTGATCCAGGCTCCTTCCTGTCCCTCCCCTGAGTTGTACTGGAACATGCTGGGGCCAGGGCACACATGGGTGGAAGTCCTGGGTCAGGTGGTGCCACTGTTGCTGTGAGGGATGGCCGGAGAAGGGGATGGAGGGAGAAGGGGGTGGAGGCCAAGGCCATCATCCTGCTGGGGACACAAAACCAAGCAGAGCTGGCCCTGAAGAAAGTCACTGCAAATGAAGTCCTCTCAGGTGGTACACGGCTTCCAGGCAGCACTGTGTGTGTGTGTGTG